CAGCAGTGCTGTTCCAAGTTTGTAAAGAAGACAATCTCTCGATATGCAATGAAAGAAAAACATTATTCAACAATATACAGCAAGACACGGCTTGAAGATACACTCACTTAAACACACTGTTACAGTAGGTCCAAACATTCTAATCACAGTCAGACCATATCTATCTATATGCAGATTCTGAGCTGGCAAGAAGTTTGTGTGTGTGTCAAATTGAAGTCTATGAAAACAAGTGGCTGTAGATTGTGTGTGTGTGTGTTGGTGCAGCAGGTCAGTGAACCCTGCAGTGTCCAGCTAGAAGAACAGACACAGTAGGTCCAAACATTCTAATCACAGTCAGACCATATCTATCTATATGCAGATTCTGAGCTGGCAAGAAGTTTGTGTGTGTGTCAAATTGAAGTCTATGAAAACAAGTGGCTGTAGATTGTGTGAGTGTGTGTGTTGGTGCAGCAGGTCAGTGAACCCTGCAGTGTCCAGCTAGAAGAACAGATGCCCGAGATGTCACACTCTGTTGTGACCCTGCTCACGGCTCACGGACATGACAGAGAGAAGCATAACCGTGCCAGTTGCCCACTGTTTGTGTGTGTGTGTATGGCTGCGTACTGTAGTACTTAGCATCAGAGGCATCTGAGCCACTGAATCTCTCTTCTGTTTATCAAAAAAATTGTTTACTGATTCGTTCAGTGACTCTTTCTGTGGGTTACATCATTACACCAGTTGGTGGCCATACATTATGAATGAGTCGTTCTATTATTCACTGATTAGTTCAAAAACATGAATTACTTTGACAGTTTTTTCACCCGTTCATTCACCAACATAATGTAAAAATGAACTGTAGTCGGATCAGATTTTGATTCATCCCAGTATATTTGATTAATTGATGTTTGTTTTAAAAATCTGTTTACCACAGATATTTCTTCATTGATTCATTCAGTGACTCGTCTGACAACTATTTATAACTATTTAAACTATCTAACAACATTTTCTGGAAACTGTCATACACTACCAACAGTTTGGGGTAGCCAAGTAATATTTTCATATATATATATATACTGTATATACACCTTAAAGTCTATCCCAACTCTTCAATGTCCCCTTTTCCATCGCAGCCTGTAGATCCTGCAGAATAAAGACTGCAGTTTAACAGACTGGAGTCACGCCAGCATTCCTGCTCTAGATCAATACATAATAGACCGTCCGTAAGTCCCCTGCTGAATCTAATTGATGAGCTAGTGCTGCAGGTGTCTCCCCAAACAGAGCTTTCCACACTAATGTACTGACAGTGTGAAGTGTCCAAGTAATCTGACAGTTAGCTCGCAGCCTTCAAATTAAGTGTACGAAACGAATCCAGTTCAGTCTGCAAACACTGAGACAAGTGTGCCAAAACCCATCAATAAAATGCTGCCTTGCTAGATGTATAAAGTCCTGTTCTTGTAAATAAGCAGCACTTCAGGAGAATTAATTTGTGGAGAAAAAATAATGGCAAAAACAATGACAAAAATAATTCCTTGCGTGAACAAATCAAGGTTGCATTTAAAAATAAAATAAAATAAATTTGCAGTAATACATAGCCTCAAGATATAGTTAATATAGTAAAACTCCAGTAGTTGGTGACAAGTGACTGTCTTTTTGACAGAATCAATTATCAAATTCAAATAGCCCTATACTGATTCATTCATGAACACAACAAGTGGCTAGCGAGTCATTGAATCATTCGCTGAAACGAATTATTCGAAAACAGCTGATTCACTGAATCACTGCTACTCTGTGTCGCTCGGAGATGTGTGGTCCATTCTTGTTTTGACAGAACTGTTTTATAGCAATTATAATGTAATGTAATTACATTTTTTATTTAAATGTATACATAAGCCTATACTTTACTGATGGAATAAAAATCTGTCTGATAATATAAAATGAATAATAATTTCCCCAAGCAAAGACTTTCTTAATATCTTTGTTCTGCAATTCAAACAAGAAAATGTAAACGTCTGAAGGGAAGCTCAGATGAGATCTCACCCACTAACTAGTGCACTGAACAAGAGACGAAAGCACCCCTTTCCACTCATGCAAAATGCCTCTTAGTCGGGATTACGTGCATCCAAACACAAACGTATCACAAGCCACACGCAAAAGTTATTATTAGACTGAAGCTCTGTATAAAACTGATTGATGTCAGACAGAAAAACAACTCACAACAACATAGATGTTTTGTGCCCCGGCTCACTGCTGTGAAATATATTTGATTAAAACTCTTCAATAAAAAATGGCTGGATATGTACCAAAAACCAACTAAAAACAGCCCACTGGCTTCCAAACAGGGACACAGAGTTCTTACGAAAGCCAAGATGTGAACAGAAAGAGTTTGGCAGTGAAGGCGTGTGAGTCACATCAGTGTAATGACTCACTGTAGGTTTATTACACAGCCTCTTACTTCTGCCACCTTGTATTACATGTAGTGCTTGATGGAGGAACGGCTCACGTTTTCAGATTCCTCCGGCTTAACATTCAAGCTGAAATTAATCGCACTACATAGGCTAATAACTAAACACTGTATTTCTCCATATAGCAATGTGGTTGTTTAAGTAAAACGGATACATTCTGCTTTGATTAAAGCTGAACTTGGTGATTTCTGGACATTCAGGGCTCCAAATGTGAAGATGAAAAGAACAAATGTACAACAGTGATCTAAAATGGAGTTGGGAAAACTGTTTGTGACCAGTGTTTTCCTGCAAACAAAAATAAACATAGTGCTAGCAATGATGTATGATTTGCAAACAAACACCTCTTATGCGCGGTTTCTTACTAAATATGTCAGTCAAAAGACTTCACTATTCTATATAATGGGTTACTCAGTTCGTGGATTGAATCTGACTCAATCAGTCAGTGAACCATTCATAGACGTTCACAAATAACTCCCTCACTAAACTGCGAGTCGTCTTTCTTTTATGTTCAATTCGAAATGAACCAATAACCGTGCTCGTTAGACTTGCATCTGTGTATTTACTGACTGGTTGTTCATAACAAATGTGTTGATACATACAAAATATTGTCGAGCAAGGTCCAATTGTAATGTTGAATCTATCAACTGTAAGGTTTGGCCAAATGTCAAACAGGTTTCTATAGGATGGACGAAGAAATAGCCCCCAATTTTCTGTACCTCACCTCAAAGGAAGCCCAAAAGGCCCAACAAATCTCTGCACTGCCAGCATAAAGCTTTTAGTAATCATAGAAGCTGCCAGAATTTGGCTGCAGGCAGGCCTAAACCACCGCAACAGTATGAGTAGACCGCTGGGTCTGAGCTGAAACCAAAGATCAAACCAAAGAGTGTTAAACATCCCACCTCAAACGCACTCTAGAGTATAGCAGCTTCTGTTGATTCTGCCTCAGCCTCTGAGCCAGACCCTTTGCTGAGCAAGAGTCCATATAAATGCACAAATATGTGTGCAAAGAAATCAATTAAACTATGCAAAGAAATAGTGATTACCAATAACAAGCGCGTATCTGTCTCAGAAACATGAGTTCCATCAGTGAGTCAGAGTCGATTTGTAGTCCATTTCTCCAGCTGGTGCTGGTCATCACTTCAGATTGGACACTTGGAGAAGACTTACTCATACTATGAAGTGCGCATAAATGAGATGTCAGGGTATGACAAAACTGCCTGCCACAACTTTCTGAGTGAAACCTTCACAATAACTGCTGATATTTCTGTCTGTGCTCATACAAGTTTGATACAGACCACAAAACCAGAGGAAAATGTGAACTCAGAGTACCTGTGTTCTGTCCTGCTTTCTAAGATTAAAGCAAAAAAAAAAATCCATGCTTTGTAGGCATCTAGAAAATGCAAGCTAATGCAACGAGAATTAATATAGATAATGGTTTGGAGCACAAATGCACACACACTCAGCTTCTGGAAAAACAGCATACGGGGTTCATACATCACAGAAATGGGAAAGTATGGGACATGTAATCAGCCTGATGTACCAAGCAGCTCACTGCTCACATTGACTGTACTGCTATGAAATCAGGATGCACCTAAATCTGATCGATAATAATAACATAACAACAATAACGACGACAACAATATGCACAAAAATGAATAATTTTAACACGAAAAGTGTACAAATAAAACATTTTAAAACTTGAAGTGAAAATTATACTGTTTAAAATGACAATACATGTATTTTTACTGCAAATATTGTATAAAAAAGTAAAAAGTATGATTTACAGCCAATATGCCTCAATACAGCTGCTAATTCCCCCCCCCTACCTCAGTCAACTGCTACATTAATGACAGTTCTATACAAGCATATAAACAGCATGTAAAATGTACAAATATACTGTAGCAGTACATAATCTGCAGTTTTCCAGTAATTTAACACTGTCTCAGCCAATGGGAAGAAGCCAGCATCTAAATGAAGAGTGTGAAGTTTCTGTCTGCATTAAAAAGCAGATGCACTTTTCACATCATCATCTGAAATGAAGGAATGACTTGTTCATTGTATCTCAGTAGAAACAGCAGATGATATCTTCAAGAAACTTACAGATAATCAGCCTCTCTCTTAACTCCTTGTCAGAAAATGTAAAGGTCTTTTTGTAATTTGGAAGCAATCACAATCAGAAATCCACTAGGATTTTAAATGCTTCTTGGAGATATAATACTAATAGGATTGATTCCAAATGCCTTTAGGATTTTAACGAATGCAGATGTTTTAAGATCTGATGCATTGTAACCTCAGCGATGATCTGTTAATATTAATATTCCAACCATAAAAGGCGCAGAGAACAACCAAACATCTGGACTGGTGATGCGCAAAGGAGACAGGTGTTTCTCGGTGTTTGTTATTATGCTATTTTACGTATGCACTACAGTTCGATTTAAATGACAAAGACTGTTTTAAAGCATCAGAGCACACTAAAGAGCGCGTTAGGAAAGCAGATCGCCCTACAGAACGAGGTTGAATCGCGAATCGCGTTGCGGACGGAGCCCGTTGCGCACGTACCTCTCACTTTGGTCAGGGTGAGCACCGGACTGTTACAGGCGGACAGCGGCGCGACCCGGGCCGAATGTTTCTTCATATTGACGAGCTCGGACAGACGGAGCTCAAGCCGCATCGACTACATCCCTAAAGCTGATTGTGACCGAACTGCTCTCAATGTCTCGTGCGCCTCCTCTACCCCTGAACTGTGCTCTCCCCTCCCACTAAACACTCTGCGGTATCCTCCCGCATTCTCCACGCGGGACAGTCACGGTGCTGCAGTTCAATTCTTTTGCCCTATAGAGATTTGCACCGTGTTTTTCACAGCTTAGGTACATAGCAATCTGCACTGCATAACAGCATAACACTGCATAACAGCAATGACAAATTGTTAACGCTTAAATGAGGAGCTACCTAAAACATTTATATTTTTTTTAATTAATTTTCTAATTTAATATAAAAAAATAATAATAATACATTTAAGTGAAATACTGCTTTAAACTCCAATTAAACAGTTCGGCATCTGTCACAAAAAAATAACATCAGGTCAGTGAGGTCAGGAGCCCTAAAGTCAATTTAAGGCAAGCCTGTTCAGGCCGTGGCCATGACGCAGGAAATTCCCATCCCATCTTAGAGGAATGTACAAGAGCAATGGCGAGAGAAAGAGATCAGGAGAGAGTGTTGGAGTGTTTTCTTCCTTCTCTGAAAAAACCACCTGAATTATTCACCTTCCAGAACCTTAAAAATGCTGGGTTGTTTCAACCCAACTTTGGGTCAAAAATGGACTAACCCAGCTGTTGGGTTAACATTTTCAATTACATTTTTAACCCAAATTTTGGGTTAGTCCATATTTGACCCAAAGTTGGATTGAAACAACCCAGCATTTTTTAGAGTGAAAATTTAATCTGGCCCTTAACTGGGGCGAGCGACTCCTCCAAGAGCTAACCTTATCCCGTTCACCTTTCTCTCTTCTGTTTCATTTACTGGATTTCTGACCATTTTCCACTCCTATTCTCCTCACGTGTTTAAAGTTGAATGACTGTACATAATTTAAAACGAACATTGACTATCATGATGGGTTTTTTAGAGTGAAAATTTAATCTGGCCCTTAACTGGGGCGAGCGACTCCTCCAAGAACTAACCTTATCCCGTTCACCTTTCTCTCTTCTGTTTCATTTACTGGATTTCTGACCATTTTCCACTCCTATTCTCCTCACGTGTTTAAAGTTGAATGACTGTACATAATTTAAAACGAACATTGACTATCATGATGGAAACCAGAACAGGATCTCTGGAGTGGAATATATGTGTTATGTATATGGATAATATAGAAACAATAGACAATAGCCATTACTGTTGCTAGTCAGTTGCGGGTAGTAAAAAATCAAGATTCTTTAAAACCGCATAATGTAAATTAGTTCATATGTAGATGTGCGTTTTGAAAAACATTCTTATTTTGACAGTCATTTGCAAACTGTGTGGGAATTATGTGTGAGTGTGTGTGTGTGTGTGTGTGTGAGAGAGAGAGTGGGAAGTGGATTTGCTTGCTGGGAAGCACACAGCAGAAACTACCATTATTTGAGTGGGTAGAGGGAAGCCTCTCTTGGTCACTACAGCTTATCTATTATTTACTACACAGAAAAGAAAAGAACAAACTCGATTCATGAACATGCGTGTGCGTGTGCAGATTATAGGGGTTCATTCTCACGGGTCCAGATGTCTTTAAATCAATACCTAGTCTTTATTGAAAAAACACTCAAGCATAACTAATGAATCCAGTGAAGAAGAGAGACAGAGTAATATGGATGAGTATGCAAAACATCAACCTCCTACACTTCAGTACCCACAGAACCCCTCCTAAACGCAAAGGTGTGGGCATAAATATCTGCATCCTTATCATCTCTTTGCTGTGTTTGGTGATGATTGGCGGTGGCGTTTCTTATCCACATACTGTCAAAGGAATAGTTCACAAAAAATGAAAAGTAAAATTCATTCATGTTGTTCCAAACATAACATTTAATGCTAAAATTAATACATGTATGTAAATTGTGTGTATACACACACACACACACACACTCAAATTCTGTATTTGAGTTTAAAACTAAATTGAAATCTTATTTTCTTTGGCTTTTTAAACTTTGTATGCAAATTTTTTAATAGTTTTTTTAATTGACATTACAGCACTATGGTAAACTGCTGTTGTGTTTATTGGCGCTTAATAAATACATGAATGAATGAATGAATGAATGAATGAATGACTGAAATTGACTTCCATAGTATGGAAAATATACTATGAAGGTCAATGGCTACCAGCAACTGTTTGGTTACCAACCTTCAAAATATCTGTTGGAACAACATTAGAGTGAGTAAATGTTAATTTTTGTGTGAATTTTCCCTTTAAAGAAAAACAAGATCTGTCCAGAACTATGAGACCATAAGACCGATTTGGTGTGTGACCTGTAATCTGTTTTACCATTTACAATTGCTTTTACAACTTTTCTATAAACACTACACTTCTAGACACTTTTATTTAATTTAATTTAAAATTTTAATTTATGCATTTAGCAGACGCTTTTATCCAAAGCGACTTACAGTGCATTCAGGCTATACATTTTTTACCAGTATGTGTGTTCCCTGTGAATTGAACCCACGACCTTTTGCGCTGCTAACGCAATGCTCTACCACTGAGCCACAGGAACACTTTTATTGCATAAAAACTATTGAAGAAGGAGATTCATAATCGTACAGTCTCCATTACTGCTGTTATGCTCAGGCAAACAAGTAAAACTCTCAAACAGAGAGCATAATCTATTACGAACACCCCCGTATGCATTAATACAGAATGTAGCATTGTGCTTTTTGAGTGCAACAATACAGTTATCATCTGACATGAAAGGAATGTAACAGATACCGTATTTCTGTTGTTAGTCATTTTTGGTGTAATATTTTTTTTTGTTTCTTTGTATATCAATATTCTCTGGTATAGTGAGCATAAACATAGTGGGAGCCTCATTATATAACATAATGCACAGCAGATACAGACAGGTTAAAGACTGTAAACACAAGGGGGACATCTGGTGATGTGTTATCTATAGATGTGACATGTGAAAAGTGATTCTATACTAAAACAAAAGATAGATTTTAGTTCATTCCAAATCAGTGAATCAATGAGCGAATCACTTAAAAGCTGCAAGAACATGTCCAGGTCATATTTCAGGTCATAAATCACAAGAAAACAATAAGAAAGTATACTTTGCATAAAGCCTAATTCAAACTCTTAGCAGTTTTAGCATTACATCACTTTCTCAACGATGAATCCTCTGCAGTGAATGGGTGCCGTCAGAATGAGAGTCCAAACAGCTGATAAAAAAATCACAATAATCCACAACTAATCCACATGACTCCAGTCCATCAATTAACGTCTGGTGAAGTAAAAAGCTGTGTGTGTGTAAGAAATAAATTCATCATTAAGACATTTTTTTACTTAAAACTATTGAGTCCTCTATGCATAATATTGCTTTCTCCAGGGAAACTCATTCACTGCAGAGGATCCATTGGTGAGCGAGTGATGTAATGCTACATTTTGACAAATCTGCTGCGATTGGCAAACTTACACATCTACATCTTGGATGGCCTGAGGGTGAATACATTTTCAGCAAACTTTCATTTATGGATGAACTATTCCTTTAAAGTCAGTGTGAGACAAACCCATTTTAATTACATAATCTGATGTATTCCAGCATAAAAACAGCATACAGCATTCATATGGCACAAGAACATTGTAATCATTCAATATCATATCAAAACATCATATTATTACTATATGATAACCATTGCTGAACCATGGTAGCACCACAGTACTTTTGCAAAAAACTATGGTTATCAGTTTTGTCCCTTTATTTCCCATGAGCAAAGATTTCAACGCAAACAAACACACACACACACACACACACACACACACACAGGTTTGTTTTTGTGAAAAGCAGGGACATCCCATAGGCGTAATGGTTTTTATACTGTACAGACCGTATATTCTACTGCCCTACACCAACCCTACCCCTAAACCTACCCCTCGCAGGAAACTTTCTGCATTTTCAGATTTTCAATACACTCCATTCTGTGTGATTTATAAGCGTTCTGAAAAGTGGGGACATGGGGTAATGTCCTGAAAAGTCACCTTCTCCTTGTAATACCTATGTCATACCTTTGTCATTATACAAATTTATGTCCTCATTTGTGACAAAAACGCGCGCACACACACACAAAAGCACAAACACGAAAACCACACACAAAGAACCACTACTAGATTTCATTTCATATTGACTGATAGAGCAGTAGGGGGCGCTGTGGACTCACTGTATTGAGTCTCAAGAACAATGACTGTGAAGGCAGAAACACAAGCACTAGGAGATTAAATAGACAGAAAAAAAGGTTGTCTCTGCTTTACTGTAACAGGACAGAGGACTCTCACTGTGCTTTGATATGGAGTAGGGTATAAGGAGATACAGGAGAACGCGAGAGACAGAAAGAGAGATCTAGATATTTATAATAGGTTCCCCTGAGAGAGAAGCTGTATTTGTATGTCATCTACTTTTTAAAGTCATATAATTTTCACACACACCACACACAATTTTCACATGCAAAACAAGAAATGAGAAAGAAAATCGGAATACCAAGAATCAAATCGGCACAAAAAGTGACAAGGAAAGCTTCTGGGGATGACTCTTATGTTCTGTATTTTACACACATTTTAAAGTGGACATCAGATGCCCATTTTCCACAAGTTGGAATGATTCTTTAGGGTCTTCATGACATGTCTGTAACATACTTTGTTTAAAATTTTTACCTTGTCAAAAACAGCTCTGTTCACAGGGATGCGTTTCGGTGCATGTGTCTTTAAATGATAATGAGCTCTGCTCACCCCACCCCTCTCTTCCAAGAGCATTGCTGCCTTTGACTCCCTATATGGCTCAGAGGTGGTCTTATTCAAATAGCTAGCTATCTACATAGAAACCGGCTGCAAATTAAAACAGCTCTCTGAATGATAGAGTTTCAGACTCAGGCCACATCCACACGAAGCCAGAGCTTTCCCTATCCAATCTTCTTTTTTCTTCGTTCTAAAATGAAATTCCATAAACGCAGCATCA